GTGTGTGTGTGTGTGTGTGTGTGTGTGTGTATACTCACACACGCGCATCAAGTTGGCTTGAAAACTTCATAGGCTGGCTTTAAACGAGTGCTGCTAGAGCTGTGAAAGCTTACATGCGTTAATTTCAAATCTTCTTCTGCATTGTTTCGTTCAACACATTTGACTGTTCAAAGAAGACGTCAAAAGAAGCTAAGAGCGACTTCTCTTGAAAATGAACAAAATTTGGTGTTATCAAATTCTTGCAGGAAAAACGTGCATAGCCCACAAGGAAATTCAGTCTTGCTACATTAGATGATGACCGCCCTGTTTCATCAATAGTGGACAGAGGAATTTAGGATGGGAAGGGAGTGTCTTGAAGATGATCCAAAGTCTGGACGTCTTGGAGTCGACACCATCGGTTAAAACGTTAATCGTGTTCACTACATGGTGATGGATGATAGTCAACTGACTATAAATGAAATAGTCAATGCTATTAGCAGAGAGTAAGAGAGTTCGGAATATTCTGTGCAATGAACTTGCAATGAAGAAAGATTCTGCTCAGTGGGTGACACGATTTGTGGCACCTGACCAAAATCTCCCCAGGCTCGAGGCGGATCTAACTGAACGTTTCCTAAGCCAGGTTGAGTTTTGGATTCATCATTTTGAGCCAGAGACAATTCATGCAGAAGAAACACCCTTCCTCGCCTGTTCCAAAAAATGTAGTTTCATCTGCAGCTAAGTTGATGGAAGTTTTTTGAGATGTTTATTGACAATATTCAAAAAGGCCACACCATCAATGTATAATACTATTCCAACTGACTGACGCGTTTGTTTAACTCTATCAAGATTAGGTGCCCAGGAAAACTCAAGAAAGTGGGTTATGTTTCGTCAGTACAATCGCCCAGCATACATGTCCTTGGTTCCATTGGCTTCAATGCGCGACTCTGACTTTAAACTGGTTGATCCCTTCCTTATTCTCCTGATTTGACCCCACATAGATATCTTCTGTTACCTTACATAAAAAACGGCCATTCTCGGGATTTTAATTAAAATTTATCCTTCTCCTAGAGTGGTTACCAATCTAGACTAAAGAACCCAGTAAAATATTTAGCCCATAATTAATAGGATATGTGCCGCTATATCTTCTCGTAATTACGGAGAAAGTTCTTGGTATATTAGCCAATATATATATATATATATATATATATATATATATATATATATATATATATATATATATATATATATTCGAAAATTATACCATAAATATGTTATAAAATCACTACAAAAATAACCATTTCATTTCAAAACTTCTGATGTCTTATGAAGTGACGGTGTTGAATGCAGTGTAAAGGGTTTTATAAGGTTCAGATCAAGCAACACCCCTCGTTAGGGGAAACGCTGTTACATAAGCTGCAATGACCAATTAAAATACAAGTAGATGAGAATTCAAAAAAACTTGACAACGATCCTTGGTTATAATAATTAATGCTTTAATGTTAGGCTTTGGACTAAAACAGAAAACATTCTAACTAATTATTAAATTTTACTATAAAATTAAAAAATAAAATTACCAATTTAAAATTTTAAATCTAATCGGTATTAAGTTTAAGAAATTATAAAATTATTTGAAGAAGAAATTGAGGAAAAATACATATGTTTTGTTATTTATTTTGTTTTTATTGAAAGGCCAAAGATTAATTTAGAATAAACGTTAAAATCTAATATTTTAACCGAAATGAATTTTTAAGGATTGTCTTTAATTATTATATATATATATATATATATATATATATATATATATATATATATAGATAATAGATAGATAGATGAATGAATAGATAAACCTAGTGAGCCAGACAAACCTACTCAGGTTTCACCTAAGCGGATCGTCAGGGAATTTGTCTGGCTCACTAGGTTTATCTATCTATCTATCATCTATCTATCTATATATATATATATATATATATATATATATATATATATATATATATATATAGTGTCTGGCTCACTCAGTCTGCTCTACGGTTGTATCGAGCTCTTTTGTTAGATAGTTGCTTACTCGTGTCGGTTTTATTTTTCTTTGGGCTTCAAACATATATTTGTACGATTTTTTCGACAGACTTCCATGTTTCTAGGTCTTTCTTTTTTTAAAACCTTTTTTCCCTCGAGATTGATTTGATTATTTGCAAATCAAAAGTTCGAAGGTTTTTCGAAACGAGTATAGTTACCTATATATATATATATATATATATATATATATATATGGATAATGAGAATTCTATTTCCGCACGGTTTCTTATTACTTGTTTCCAAAGAATACAATTTAAATTGATATAAATCGATTGCGAACTTTTATATTATCAGCATGTCTTTAAGAATATTGTGAACATTAGAAAAATCCAAGAATGCCGAATTTTTACTGAGAATGATATAATAATTCCGCATAACAATATAATAAATTACTTACCTGAATATGAGAAAAACGATACTTTATTTCAATATTTCAGTTTGCGGATATGATACACAAGCCATTGTGTCCTACAAAGGAAATATTTTTCTAGTTAAATATACGTATGAATGACATTACGAATGGTTCTGGATCCGATTCACTGTCTCAAAACGAGATATATATTTTCCATTATAGCTGAAAGGAGGGTTCAGTTATATTGTAAAGTGCTAATGTAATAAAAAATCCGAGCGATTACTTTTGATGGCATCATATCAACGGAAAATATGTTTTACGATATTGTTCATCTAATACAAAGCCCCCAAAATCACTCAACATAGAGAGTCATTGAATGAGCTTGTTTAAGGACGTAAGATTGAGATGTAGAATTGTCGATTATAAAGGTAGATAATAAACTTCATGAGTGTAAGTTTATAGTGGCCGGGGAAGCATTATTTCGGGGAGACGTGCTTTTTCTTTTTTTTTTTTACAATGCAGCTGCTTTTGGGAAGACGATATATCAGTGGAACTTCAAAGGGAATAAAAATAGTTTGTCCTTTTGTATATAAGCACAGTGAAGTCTAGCTGAGGAATGTAGTTTTTTTGAACATTTACTTTTTTTTACATTTAACTGAGGTCAACGCCAACAGCCACAGTCTGTTTCAATCTTCTGTTCATGTGTGTTGTGTTTAGGCTCGACCATTTATATATGCTGGTCAGCGGTGCCTTATGGGTATCAAAGACTATTGTATTATCTTGCCGGTTATTAGGTTGGCGGAAACGGTTATTTTTCAAATTATTCTAGAGTGGCAAGAATTCTAAAACAGATACAGACCTGAAAACTTCGTTCATGCATGAAACAAATTGTCAGCGCTTGGTGTTGACCTAAGTGTCCACTTTTATATTTACATACGCTCTAACTATGATATTGAGATCATTTAGCCACGAATATACGATACCTTAAAACAATATTTCTATAATTCATATATATATAATCGTCTGCAGTCACTCTCTCACAGACGCGCCGTCGCGTCTCTCTGTCTTTTCTACAAATACTTCCATGGTAACTGCTCTGACGAGCTGCTTTCACTGGTTCTCAGACTCCATGAATTCAAGCGCCCTACGAGGCTGGCATCCCGCTCCCACCCTTACACCGTAGAAACTTTCAAATGTAGCCGTCTCTTCTACTCCAATAGCTTCATACCTCGCACCTCTCGCCAGTGGAACACCCTCCCCAGTTACTGCTTCCCTGAAGGCTATAATCTCCAACTATTCAAATGTAATGTCAATCGACATCTCCAGTTACCTTGATCTACCCACTATCCCTCTCCACATCCTCTCTCCTATCACTCCTATCTGCTCTCGCTCCAAATCTTCCGCACCCCCCTGCATCCTAGTGGCTTCACGCCTTGCTTGGGGCGTAATGCTTAATATATATATATATATATATATATATATATATATATATATATATATTAAAATGAACAAAGTCTGACAATGATTTCAAGACATTTTTATGTTTATACATTCTTTTTATAGATACAAATATTTAAGTAAATGCTCTGTTTCGGAGGGCATTCGGGCCGGTAAATGTTGTTTAATACTGTTTATTATAAACAGAGCATTTACTTAAATATTTGTATCTATAAAAAATAATGTATAAATATAAATATCTTAATATATATATATATATATATATATATATATATATAGTCATCCACAAAACGTCAGTATGGCTAGACATGGTTTGCTGTAAACGGGAATCGAAACTCGACCGATTAGACATTAGTCGGAGACTCTAACCCTTAGCGGCGGAGAAAGTAATTTTTTTTAACGAATTGTGTATGAGATATAAGCATTACCGGCTAACAGAGTGCTCAGTTTATAGCGAAGAGATTCTAGCGTTAATTAGCAGCAGCCGATAAATTACCTTACTTCCAAACTGCTTATCCGAGGAATGGCGGAAGACGATAGTGACCGAAAGAATGAAAAAAATATACTTTCCGTTAGAAATTGAACCCGTACTCCCTTTTATTAGGGAAGTCACTTACACACATACACAGACACACATAAATATGTGTATATAGGTATATATAAGCACACATTCATTTACATATGTATATATATGTTGTGTTGTATTGTGTGTGCGTGCGTGCATGATTTTCTATCTAAGAGACAATTCTTTATCTTCCTTTACAGAGATATTTCATTTGCCATTCTCTTTAGTCATTATCTGTTGGATATACTCCATGTCCATCTACCATTTTTACATTGTGGCCAACTTGTCACGGCTCGTTAAACACAAGCACTTGTGTCCCTTTACGGTTCATGTTACAAAAAGTTACTTTTTATCTTACTCTTAATTGCATTCAAAAAGTGCTGTCCAATTCAACCCAGGAAGAGTTGCATATCGTTTCAGCATGAACAAATGCCGATTAAAAAATGTCAAGCATATTGGAGTAGCCATTTCTTCTTTAGGCATGTTGGATTAAATGTTTTAACTAGAATCAGAACTCAGCTCTCTGATTTCTTATTCAAAACCGGTATCCATTACACCACACGCACAACCAAGCTTACACCACCTAGTATTTACAAGCTGTCACCCATCTAGGTACTGACCAGGTTCAGTGTTGCTTAACTTCGGTGATCTTATGAGCCCATGTGTTTCAACGTGTCTTTCAATGTGATATAACCTTAAGCCGGGTTTCTTTTAGTTTTTTTTTTTAATACGCGCCGATAGTTTTAAGGAAAAGAGGAATAAAAAGAACACTTTCACCTAGTATCAGGATGGATCATTTGCCATTTTCTGAAACGCATAATGAAGAAAAAAAAAGCATTGAAACTTAGCACCCACAGGACATATTAAAGTCAAGAAAGTCAGAGGAAAACAGCGAATTATCTAACTAAAGATCTAGTGTAAATGAATGACGGGATATGAACTGGGAGGAAACGTAAGGGGAAAATTGCTTAGAGCTACAAGAATGAGAACTATTTGGAGAGAATGGTTTCCCCAACTCCTGAAGTGACACAGCACAGAACCATAACAAAAGACGAAGACAAATAAAGAATTTCCTGAAATATATTTTTTTTCGTAGTATTTATTGAGAAACCGAAAAAGTTAAAAGAATCTTCTTCTTTTATGTGCCGTGTCCCTTTAGGACGTAGGCGATCATGGCTCTCCATTGCATCTTTTAATAAGTCTTTTTGGGGTTTTTTTTCTTCTCCCAAACCTTGTTCTGCCATCCATTTGCTCACGTCCATCAAATATGTTACGCGCTGCTTTCCTCAGTCCATCTTTCCCACAATATGTCCAGTGTGTATCAAGTTTCCAAATCCCTCCCTCATCATTACGTACCCCAGAAACCGCAACTGCCTCTTTCTGGTGTTAAATATAAGTTTCCTTTTTGTTTTCATTTTCTCCAAAACCTCGTTGTTGCTCACATATTCGAACCAATTGGGAGATAAATTAGGTCTTGCGTAGTATGCAAATGATATATTTAAAATTAGTAGGAAGTATCAGAACCCTTTTCAAACTCCTTTCTCATAAGTGTATTCTACTGGGTTATGCTAAATGTTCTGATTCACTTAGCAAGCGGAATGAAAACATCAAATTTTGATCTCTGTTTGGAATACTGTATTTCGAGTTTGTTCCAAACGGTCGCGCTATCCACGCTAAACTCTATTGCCAAGAGAGAGACTGCGTCTACGACAAACTAAAGGAGTGACCTGCTTTGGTCAATCGAGGTCGGTCTTTGTTTCAGCAAGATAATGAGAGGCCATATACTTCCAGGTTGACTAAGAAAAAGTTTAAACAGATGGACGGTGTTGAGATTCTTCCACATCCACCATTCAGCCTCTATGCTGCTCCGAGTGACTATGGTCTATTCCGATCAATGGCATACTTCCTCCGCGACTAGCGAATTAACATTTTTGATGTAGTGAAGGAAGCTTGTTTACAGTTTTTTTGGTTCAAAGCAAGCGGACGGGTATCTGGGACAGATTCGGATGCTGGCCGATCTATGGCATAAGATCGTCGAGAATGATGGACCTTACTTTGAAGAATAAATATTCATGTTTCTCCATAAAATTTTGTTGTTTCCTTTCCGCTTTCTAAGTTAGGACATTCTTGTCATCTTAATATTTGTATATTGTAGAAAACAGCTGTATTTTAGCCTACTTCTTTTCATATTTGAACATTATCGTGTACGTGTCTAAAAAGTACCATAGCAGATACACACACAAGTAGCATCGATCACATTTTAGGTACCTGACAAACACTTTCAATGGAACATTCTGCCTACTTCACAGATGGTATTAACGCCAACAAAAACTTTCAACAAATGCTCGTCAAAGAGTCTACACGTGTTACGCGCTTAAAAGATCTTTTACAAAGAAAAACAATTGCTTCGGATCTACATCTGTAGACTTTACAAACATGGCTGGACTGGATTTATTGGGGAGGATTTTTATGAAATACAAAGAATTGACACTCCAGTCGGATGCATTCAACTCGAGTGAACAACGGCGGTGGCAAAAACAAATTTCTGAATTTCGCATAGGGTATTAAAATTGAAAGTATAAACACGAATTGATACATTTTTTTTTACAGATATTTGCATGAACATGAATGCAGACATGATAATCTTTATTTGAACGAGTTATGTCTTTTTTTTCCTTTTCATCTCTCTCTTTACATATATTAATAGACACAGTATAATTTTAGCAAAGCATTGCATTACTGACCTGCGCAATCACTGAAATTTTCGTACTGATCTGCGCAATGTAAACAAACTGGTGCCATATTTGTTATCAGCACAGTGATTTGAATTTTGTGTGAATTGATTGGACGGTTTTTGAAATATTAGAAAAAAGTTATCTCGAAAAAAAATTTGGCACGCAGTGTGTCGAAATTTAGCTTAGTAACAGCCATACTCGGCGCAAAAAAGGTTGGGAAACTTTGTCATTACGTCCAATGACGGGAATCCCGCGTAACACAGTTAACAGAGACCTGAAACCATGAATATACAACCATAACAAGCGAGATAAAGAAGAAGGAAAAACCACTTGAAATAGTTATAAAATTTATTGAGGGAAAAGAAAAAAAAGAAAATGAGGGGGGAAAATAGTCTGATCTTAAAGTTCACTGGTACAACTTGAAAATAACTGCCAAAAACGTTCCTTTGGCGAGCCCTTAAAAAGGACTCCAATAACACTTCAGAGAGAGTGAAAGAGGTAGAGAGATAGCAGAAAGCGGGGAAAAATTAGACTTACTGTTAAAAAAAAAATAGTTTTAGTATAATTTTTAAGTAGCTGGGAAAAAAGGTTTTTAGATATTTTTTGAGTTGCTCTCCTTGGAAAATAAGCAAGGTTCATGTTAAAAATAAATGCAGACTTGTTTTTTCAAACTTTCTCTGTGACACAAATTCAACTTCTAGAGACGACTTAGAAGATCTTTTTTTCACATACTTTTTTCCACGTCACAATTTCGTCCAGCAATAGGACAAAATAACTCCTCGAAGGAAGGTAGCTTTGCAATCGCTTAATTTAGACTTTTTTTCTCTCTTCGACCCGATTGTCGAAAGAAGGCTTCCTTGAGGATGTTCTATTGTAAATTCTCTTTACAATAATTTCTTTAACTGATTTTTTAGATAAGTCTTTACTGACTTGTTCTTTGGTTGCTGAAAAATAATCCACTTGATTACTGGAACAGACTTGACTTCACTTGTCTAGAGAATAAGCTTTTTCCACACTTGTTTTTATCTTCAATTCTCTTCGACAAATATTCTTGGCTGGTGTTTTATGATTGTTTTCCTTGTCAGAGCAACAACAGGTTATCTTCAAGCAGGTTTCCTTTTCGTCGCAAGACAAGACGACTTATCGTCTCCACACTGCGGTGCCCTTTTCTCCTACTACTGACTAGATTCCTCTAATCTAGTCGAAAAAAAGCGGGAAAATCCCGTACGACCAATCGTTAGACACGATTTCGCCACGTGACACAGCAGCAGCAGTTCTTACACTGCACACAGGGGAAAAGGAGAGGAGGAAGGAAAGTAAGAGATAGAAAGATAGATACAGAAATTAAATTTCTGACAAGTGTGTATATATATATATATATATATATATATATATATATATATATATATATATATATATTGATATGTAAATAAGTTAACGTATAAAAGGCAGTATCGTTATGCCTACAGGAGAGTTATCTTTTCTTGACAAGAATAAATCTGTCAGAGTATACCTAGTGTAACAATATAGCGTCGCCGATTGGTTATTTGACCACGATGGAGGATCCGGAATATATTGAAACTTGGTGTTTCTCAGCGTCGTCAAAAGGTTAATGGACACCAAATATAGTAGAGGAGAAAATGAAGTTACGGATTTATTTTTGATTTCACCGGGGTGTGAGGTCATAAAGAAATCTCCGTCATTGTCTATCCCAAAGTGTTGGAAGATTTAGTGTATGAAGAAATTGCTACCATCATAAAAGCAAACACACAACAACAACAAAAAAAAAAAAATTGGTCATAAGAATTAAATTTCTCGAAAGTATACATAGACCGGACGAAACTGCGATGCAATATGTAGAGCGATTGAAAGAAGCGTCGAGGTATTGCGAATTTGAAAGAATGGTTTCGTAACAAATGTCTAAGACGAGCTAAATATGCTAAGACTGATTGAAGGAGTGTTTGACATCTCGTACAAGCATAATATATAATATGAATCTTGAAACATGTGTGTAGTTCATCATTGACATTATTAAATATTTTTTGTTGCTGGAGTTGGTGGATAATTTAGCTTGTACTGAATTATGCAAATTTTCAGAAATTTTGTGATGATGGTTTAAATCTTTACTAAAGGTATCTATGGTTATGCAGTTCTTTTATGTATGTGCTTAAATATATATATATATATATATATATATATATATATATATATATATATATATATATATATATATATTAAAAATTAATTGATTTAAAATATGTTTTTCCGCTACACAATTCTAACCATGTTTCAAAAATGGAAGCTAAAAGCTTTGAATTTAATTTTGTAATTAAATTAAAGACATTACTTCCATTTCATCCTCAAGCGAATTGTGGAGTAACTTTTAAAATTACTAGGTTTTAAAGACACAGCTAAAATCACGTTTCCATGGTTACAGATAAATCTACTAACAATAAATTTTAAAAAAATCCAGACGACATGCATTCAACGGATGTCAGTTTTCATTGAAAAATATATCCCTACCCATTACCAGAATGTAGCTAATAACCGATACAATCATGCAGACATAAGGAAAATCCAGACACCACTTGTCCAGTTGAAGTAGATTTATCTATAACCATGGAAACGTGATTTTTGCTGTGTCTTTAAAACCCAGTAATTTTAAAAGTTACTCCAAAATTCGCTTGAGGATGAAATGGAACTAATGTCTTTAATTTAATTGCAAAATTAAATTCGTGGCTTTTAGCTTCCATTTTTGAAACATGGTTAGAACTGTGTAGCGGAAAAAAAACATATTTTAAATCAATTAATTTATATTATTAATGCTCTGTAAATTTACATCGAGCACTATTTTGTAAAAATAAAAATACCTATAAGAACACCCGATTATATATCTTACTGTTCTTTCTTTATATATATATATATATATATATATATA